TTTGTGTGATCTGTGCTCTGAGCAATGTTGTCATAGTGCTGTGTGTAAACTGTACTGTGTCAGGAATTGTGGGATTGGATGGGACTCTCTAATATGAGTACTACTTATGTTGAATTGTAAATGATGATGTAGTATGGGGTACTGTGTTATTTTAAGTGATCATTGCCTTTTCTGCTGTACAATATGACCCTTCTCATCTCTCTCATTCATTTTGCATGCCTCTGCTCACTTCTGTACAGCCACAGTTGAGGCTATTGAGGCTGAAAAAGGTACGATCAGAGTCCTTGCGCTGGGCAGAGATCTGTGGTGTGTGGGTGGGCCTCAGAGAATGTCCTGTGGTGTGTCTTACTCCTAGCTTGCACAGCCCGAGATGAGTCAGACTCACTGACTCATCAAGTTTAACAGTCACATTCCTCATTTATTTATTTTTTAATTACAAAGGCTGATGTCCATAATGACAGTCTGGTTTTTTCCCCCCTTTTCTGGTGCAATATGCAACCAGAATTTAATGTTACTGATTTCTTTAAGTATATTATGCTATACATTATAGCATTCAGAGTTGCCTGTTTTAATGGAAATTACTAAACTGATCCTGCAAATAAAGATCTGTTCCATATTTTGCATGATTCTATGCTACTCAGATTTTTTCCCCTAAGTAAAACCTTCTCTAGATATAGGTATGAATTTGTTTTTACTCATTTTCAGTAATATGCCTGACTAAGAGTGCAGGAACTGTCATTATAATGGTTGTTTTCTCTTTTTTTTGCTGCAGTTTTGGGCTATAGTTTACTGATAAGTTTATATTCATGTATATTATATGTTGGCTTGATATTACACATTACTGAATGTTTTGCTGCCCCAGCCATTGTTCGGTTCATGTGCACAGACTGAGTCCTAGCTATTTCACACATTAAGCAACCAGATCATAACTAGGGGTATGACAATCTTTTCTATGAACATTTAAACAGTGGAGGATGCATCATTCTATATGAAGTGAAAGAGAAACTATATAATTGGTGGAAAATTGCCATTTATTTTGATTAGAGTTTCCAAAGAGGTACAGTAAATGACCAGTGAATTAAGGAAGACATTTCCTAAAATATGAAACTATAAATACTTTTTGCTATCAGCCAAATACAGAAACACAGGCATTTTCTACCTTTTTCATTTCATGTTGGTGGTGAGGGGTTGATGATACCCTTGACTGCCAAGATAGTTTAGATCTACTGTATTTTAGCTTATCTTTGCTTCTTTCTCCTCCCAAGCTCTTGGTACAGATCTGTATGTTGGGATTAACCTTGTTTAGCCTCCTTCCTTGCCCCTACTCTTGTTGCTACTTTATTGTGATAATCACTGGTGATCTTCGGGTCCAAAGTAGGAGATAATTGGTATAGTAGAAGTCAGGCTGAGACCCTGAGAGGTTGATTTTGGGGGCAGAGGAGGGGAGGGTTGATTTTGCTTTTTGCTTGGTTTGTTTTTTTTTTGAAGGCTACACTAACACTATCATCTATAAAACTATCATGTTTGTATTTAGGTTTAAACGTTTCACATTTTAAAGGGAAAACTTGAAATGGGGATAGGATTCAGTTAAAATTTAAGTGTTGCTACTTGCAGCTAATTTCTTTCTTCTTAAAAATCATTAATTATGTTTTTGAAATCTCAAAAATGTTTTTCAATTACTGACTTATCAAATTTGCATTTTGTTAAGCAATACGAGGATTCTCTCCACCACATAGAATCTGCAGTTTTGAAGAGGCAAAGGGTTTGGATAGGATCAATGAGAGAATGCCACCCCGGAAAGATGCTGTACAACAAGATGGTTTCAATTCTCTGAACACCGCACATGCCACTGAGAACCACGGGACTGGCAACCATAGTGCCCAGTGACCCACGGCTTCCCAGGGACTCTCACATCTCGGGCCCCCAAATGGACAGATCACCCGAGGAGCTGGAGGGGTTGGCCAAACTGACTGTAAATGTCACACAGTCCCTCTGCAGAAACCATTGTGCTTTTGAAAACCCAGCCCCTTCCTGGATGGAGGCTTGAGGGCCCTGGGACATGTTGTGCTATCTGATAAGATTGGGTCATCGCTGCCAATGTGGAAAGCAGTGAGCAAGGGGCTTGGGGCAATTTCCAGTGGAGGGCATCTACTACACCTCCATTTATGCTTGTGGTTCACACATTTAAGTTTACAAATGAGATTTCTTCCCCACCCCCAGTAGAATTAGAATTTGTTTTTCAACCATGACTTCAAATGCAATTCTAAGAGCTAATGTGGACTTTTCTTTTTCCATGAGATATCTTTAAAGGATGAATTAGCATGGTCTTAAAAAATACCTTTCTGGCGTTACTAGCTATATTTTGAATTGTGGGCAAAATGCTGAGAAACCCAGCATTACAAAATGCTGACCTCAGGTCAATAGTTCTTAAATGTGGCTAATTCTGTAACATAGTCTTGGTATTTTTCAATTATGAACACATAACCTATAACTAGGCAGACACTTTTACTTGAACACAAATTCAAAAACTAATTTAGAATCCTTTTTGCCCAGATCTTTTGAGATTTACATCCCAGAGATTTAAAAAGTAAACCTCTAAATTGCAAAATTATGAAGAAGTACAGAATTACTCATTTAAGATACTTTAAAAGAAGTTTGTACATTGTCAAAGTAAATTTTAATTCAAATCATGTCTGTAAAACTTGACGTATTTTGTGTATGCATGTTTTCATTTTGCAAATATTTAATATATAGACCTATGATGTACAGGTACGACATGTATAGGTTATCTAGATGTTATGAGAAATTTTAGTTTATTGTGAGTACTCAAGTTGCATAAATAGCCACCAGAATGATTTGCTGCTGGCATTCTATCATTTTTATGTTTTAATGCAAAGGAAATTTTAAAATGTTCTGGAAGTGTTTTTGATTAAGCAATGCAGCCTAGAAACAATGGTTCTGTTCAATCATTCAGATGTTAGTGGAAGCATAAAAGTCAAGACTGCATGTTGAAATTTTTCTTTTGATAGTTACTGATCTGCTTGGTTAAACTAAATGGAACCATGTGCTAATTTTTCACAATTATCGACCTGTATTGATTGCCACTGTAGTTTGGTATTTCCCTTTACTTTGGTGGCCTGCTTCCCTCATGCCGTGGAATACAACGCAGAGCTCCAGGCAGCGGAACCATCTGTTGTTTTGTTTGCCAGAAAGTGCACCCTGTATGGTCTCCTGTCTAAGTTGGAAATATTATGCATGTGCAGGACTTTTCAAGTATTTTATAAACAGTAGCACACAATAAATTCCATGCATGGGCCGCTGCTCCTATCTCTGTGTTGGGTTTTATTTGGAAGATGCAGTCTGATTTGGCCTTTTGATGGAAATCAGAAAATCCTGTTAATAGAGCTGGAATATCCTTTGGAGAAGATTATCTCTTGGATAGTTCATGGTGATTTGATAAATTAAATTCTTGTCTTTATAAAATCTGCCTTAAAAAAAAAACACTTGTTACACTTGTTTTACATGAGCATTAGTAACTGAGCACTAGAGGACTTTGGATGCCTACTGTAGGCCTCCTAAATCTAATATTTATGATCACTGTTTTTATTATCTTTTAATTGAAAAAATACATCATTAATTAGTATTTTGTTACAGGAGTATTGGGAATTAATTGGTGTTTTAACAATAAGAAGAAAAAATATTAGTGATACTACATTTTCCTACATTATATTCCTCTCTTCTTTGCCATAATCAAAATAAGTATAGGATTTTGCCAACTGAGGGAAATTAGGATATTGTTCAAGATTTTATAATAAAATAATTATATAACTTTATAGTTCTCAATAATAATTACAATAAGATACATTAAAAAGCATTAATTTAAATCAATGTATGTATACTTGCCTAATTCTAAGTAAGTAACAAACAGAACTTCTCAAATTGTTGATTACAGCTTCTGCTTGCTGTAATATTAATTTGCATACCAGTCCATGACTTGCCTCTAAAGTTATTATGCATTGCATACCTTAAAGATTCTTTTTCATGTTATTGTTTTATGAAAGCTATCATTTCTAAAGTAAGAGTTTAGTATATCAGGTGCCAGGAACTTCCTTAGCCCTTAGGTTCATTATTAGGGTTACATAGTGTTTGTGGGAATCACGGGTGAGCATAAAGCACTATTGGCAAACGAGAGGAAGTATGGGTTGATGGTGAAAATTAAGAAGAGGAAAATATGAGAAAGGAACAGAGCTTTAAAAAAGTGTTACACATGAAGAATGTATACCGCTTTAGCACCTAGTGCCTCACAGACCATTTCCTACCTGTTGAATAGGAACCTCTTTCTAGTCTTTCTTTATAATTAGTTTCACAACAAGCCATTTATTAAGATTTTTAAAATACAACTCATGAATGCAAATTGTGCATTCATTTTCTAAATTATAACTTTAAATGTCTATCAGAGCAGGTAATAGTGATGGTAAAATGTAAGTTAATATTCAACATCAAATTTTTTTCTATATATAGCATTCCTCTTTATATTCAAAGATGATATTTCTGAATTAGAAAAGTCAATTTCTGACTTCTTGTACTTTCTTCAGTTCAGCCATTATTAACAGAACTCAAAACCTTTGAGGTTCTCAGTTAAATTTTTGAGGCCAGTTAAATTTGAAATTGTTCTAAAACTTTTGCTTAAAATTAATCATACCTATTTTTTTTTTTTTTTTTGAGACAGAGTCTCGCTTTGTTGCCCAGGCTAGAGTGAGTGCCGTGGCGTCAGCCTAGCTCACAGCAACCTCAAACTCCTGGGCTCCAGCGATCCTTCTGTCTCAGCCTCCCGAGTAGGTGGGACTACAGGCATGCGCCACCATGCCCGGCTAATTTTTTATATATATATCAGTTGGCCAATTAGTTTCTTTCTATTTATAGTAGAGACGGGGTCTCACTCTTGCTCAGGCTGGTTTTGAACACCTGACCTTGAGCAATCCGCCCGCCTCGGCCTCCCAGAGAGCTAGGATTACAGGCGTGAGCCACCGCGCCCGGCCAATCATACCTATTTTATTCAGAGATTTTGCTTATTGCAACTAGTTTTGCTCTGTCCACAGCTGTTCTGCGTAATGTTATGTAATGTTTTGTTGAATCCTTAACACTTTTCTTCCACCTTCCCTACTTGTAGTTTGTGCTTTCTACTGTTTGAAGTTCTTGTATGGATTTGATTTACTACATTCTAGGACCTCATTGCAAGTGGTTCTATTCCCCAGTTTGATGATGTTCACAGAAGCAGGTAAGTGACTACTGGGGCCAGATGTAAGCAGAAAACCAGATCTTGCAGTCATGTAAGACCACTGCCCTATCAACTTCCGATAGGAGCTAGGAATGTGGAACTGAATTCCTTGGATCAGCATCCATTACCAGGAGGAACGAGAAGATGGTTGATTTGATTCTTTTCTTCTCTTTTCCTAAAAATAGTATGCATTTTTAGTCATTAACTAATATTTTGGTCTTGCTTATTTTAATATTCCAGAAGCATTTATTCCTCTTGAAATAAACAGGTAGAGTGCCCCTGATGACACTCTCACTGAGAGAGTACTTTGCTGTCCTTTCAGGGAAAGTGAATTTTACAAATTAATTCTGCATGTTTTCCCTATATTTGATTTTTTTCTGTACCGTTAAATGACCATTTCTTTTCTCCTTTCTTGGGTATTATATTTGTATTTAACCCTAGATTGGACATTGTTGAATTCTGTTTGAACAGTGTTTGTTATGCTAAAAAAGGACATTGGGCTTGGGTCAACTCATTCTGGGTCTAGATTTACATACAGGACTCCAGGGGTTCCTGTTCTCTGGGTTGATGTCTACCCTTTCCAGCCAAATACTGACTTCTGCATTAAATCCCCAGGTTTTTTTCTAAAGTTGTAAACTGAGAACAGAAATGTTGCTTTGAGTGAGAGAAGTCCAGGAAGCAGTACTTTTCATTTTTCCTCAGACTGCCTGGCCTTTAGTGAGTTTGGAAGTGTTGATAGAGTCCTGAGCCTTCTTGGCAGAGAATGAGGGTTAGAAAGAGAGAAGTCCCCAGGCAAGGGGCCAGGTCTCTACTTGCCTCATGAAGGAGAATTCAGCCTTGTGTATCTGGTTGGCAGGGCACACTTAATCACTGAGATCCAGCATTTCAGCAGTTTGTAGAGGAAAGTGATATGAAGGGACAGCTGCAAGTAACCCACAACCTACATTTGAGGAGATCAAGCACTTACTTCACTTGGAGGAAAGAGAGAAGGAAGGAAGCCGAGGGCTTAGCAGGGTAAGTTTTTCCCTATCAACCTGTCTGCTTGCTTGGTTTATTATTGAGTAAAGTATTTATCACCCCAGGGAGTGTTAAATCACTGATTAAGCAGCTGAATATGGTCATAATTGCAGCGTTCTTAATGTATTTCTCCTTTTCTCTTTCTCTTTTTCTGCCCCTTTTGAGGATCCCCAGTGATCAGTTTCACTGCCCCTTCTCCCTACCTCTCCAAAGATGTTTTGTATTTGCTGGTGAATTAGAGAAAATTAGATGGGCCTTCCTGGTCTGGAGATAATGAAAAGATGACAGATTTAGGTGAAGCATGGGACTTTCTGTGGTAAGGAGGAATATGGAAGACTTAGGTTTGGGAATAGGTTAACATTTTGGTTTGTAATTTGGAGATGAAGGATAAGAATTTTTCTGTGTAATCAAGTTCATATCTCCTCTCCTCTTCAGTTCTCAGTGTTGGTGTTCTCTCTCTCATATACTGGGAATAAATTAGAGGTCAAGTCACTGGGGACAGCTAGAAAAAAGTTAAAGTGATTCCTTTCCTAGGTTGGGTAGACTCTGAACTCTGGAAAGTTCTGAGAGCTTACTGCAATGCTTTCTCCCTTGTGTCCCCTGTCCCCGTCACCCCACCCCTTTGTTTTTCTCAGTTTACACCCCTTGAACTTGGAGGAGCCTGCAGCTTGTTGTAGGAAAGTTAGAACTAGGGAAGCTGTGTCTGAGCCTACAGTACACAAACTCAGACATGAGCCTGATGGTGTATATAGATGCAAATGCAAAGACCTTCTCATTCCCACCTTTTTACCTTCCTGCCAGAAAGCTAGTTCATTTGTGTGTTGAACCTTGTGTTCTAGAGGAGACTATGATATTAGGGATGTTACCACCGCCACTCCTGCTCCCTGAACTGTGTGATCCTTTTGACTTCTAGCCAGTTCAGCTAATTACTAGATTGCCAAGCGTTAATCTTTTGTTGGAGAAAGACCTCTCCTTGGAAATTCAGTTAAGTGTGGCAATACCTTTCTGACCTTAATTGGTTTGCATTGCAGCAAAAGGCTTATGGTTTAACTTCAGGAAGATATTATAAATTCTGGGATTTAAGACCCTAGAGTTGTTGTCTTAAAGTATCTTTGATTTGAGACATACCTGAAAAAGAAAAAAAAAAATTCATTCTTTCAAGGTTAAGAACGTGTTATGTCTTGTCTGAGGCAGGTGGGTAGAGTAGATAAATGCTTTTTTTTAGAACAGCAGTGATTCTGGAAATGCAGTTGACAATACATGGTGATTAAAAGTGGTGGGCAGTCCTTTCATGGTGGCTTACACCTGTAATCCGAGCACTCTGGGAGGCTGAGATGGGAGGATCACTTGAGGCCAGGAGTTCCTGACCACATCTCTACAAAAAATAGAAAAATTAGCCGGGTGTGGTGGCACCCACCTATAGTCCCAGCTACTTAGGAGGCTGAGGCATGAGAATTGATTGGACCCAGGAGTTGGAGGTTGCAGTGAGCTATGATGATGCCACTGCACTCTAGCCCAGGTGACAGAGCGAGACTGTCACAAACAAACAAACAAACAAGTGGAGGACAGAGTGAAGTCAGTTGTTGGAAATGGGGTCATAAAGTGAGAAGGGCAATTCCATTCTCCTTTTAGTAAAGAGATGTGACCTTTAAACCCTAACATAATCTAATATCGTTAGGACCAATTTCTTCTTCATTATGGTAATATAGAGGATATTGTATACAGATGAATTTAGCTACCTCTTTTCTATGGACTCTGAAACCATTCATTCACCCATGGGATGAGGGGAGTTGTGAAAGAGTGGTTGGAAACATAAGGGTAAAGAAAAAGAGAGTACAAAGGAAAAATACAAATTCTTTCCTCCATTAACCTGAGGACACAGGTTTATAAGAGCCATGTTGTAAGATATGGATATGCGGTGGATGATTTGGGGTTTTGTTTGTTTGTTTGTTTGTTTTTGTCACCTACCTATACCTCAGCTGCATGATGATTCTGGAGTTTTTTTCCCTAACAGATATGGTCTAGAAGGATCAGATGTCAGATCATTTTTGTAACAAAACATGATCCCTAGTTTGAACTTCAATAGTTACCTCATTCACAGTAAGACTAACCACTGCCAGTGTGTTTATCATCTATCATTTCTCTATTCCTGGAGGCAGTTAATCTGGGGATTAATAACTTTTTAGCCTCTCTACGGATACCTTTTCTCCCTTTTCTTTTCTTTTCTTTTCTTTTCTTTTCTTTTCTTTTCTTTTCTTTTCTTTTCTTTTCTTTTCTTTTCTTTTCTTTTCTTCTTTTCCTTCTTTCCTTTCTTTTCTTTTCTTTTTCACATAGCATAAAATTAATTTAAAGTTAGCGATTAAATGGCATTTAGTATATTCACAATATTATGGAACCACAACCTCCAAAACATTTAGTTTAGTTCTAAAACATTTTCATTACCCCAAGGAAAACCCCATAACAGTTAAACAATTAATACTCATTTTCCCTTCCACCTAGCCCCTAGCAACTGCCGGATCTGCTTTCTGTCTTTGGATTTACCTATTCCATATATTTCAAATAAATGGCATCATACAACATGTAATCTTTTGTGTCTGGCTTCTTTCACTTAGTAGCATAGTTGTTTTGGGGTTCATCTACATTGTAGCATATATCAGTATTTTCTTTCTTTCTTTTTTTTTTAGAGATAGGATCTCACTCTGTTGCCTAGGCCGGAGTTCAGTGGTATGATTGTAGCTCACTGTAACCTTAAACTCTGGGTTTATGTGGGACTCCTGCCTCAGCCTCCTGAGTAGCTAGAACTCCAGGCATGAGTCACCAAACCCAGCTAATTAAAAAAAAATTTTTTTTTTTTAGAGACAGCATCTTGCTTTGTTACCCAGGCTGATCTCAAGCTCCTGGTCTGAAGTAGCCTCCCACCTTGGGCTCCTAAAGTGCTGGGATTATAGGTGTGAGCTACCATGCCCAGCCTTATTTCTTTTTTTGGCCGAATAATATTTATTTACTCCCAATTTGTTTATCATCCATTGGTGGATCTTTGGGTTATTTCTACCTTTTGGCTATTGTGAATGGTGCTGCTATGAATGTTCATGTGTAAACATTTGTTTGAGTACCTATTTTTAGTTATTTGGTATATATACCTAAGAATGAAATTGCTGGTTTGAGGAATTGCCATACTGTTTTCTATAGTGCCTGTACCATTTTACATTTCCATAGTGTGTGTGAGGGTTCCAATTACTCCACATCCTCATCAGCATTTATTGTTTCCTGGGTTTTCAATAATAGCCTTCCTAGTGGGTATGAAGTGATATCTCATTGTGGTTTTGGTTTGCAATTCCCTCATGACTAATGAGCATATTTTCTTGTTTGTTGTCCATTTGCATATATTCTTTTAGAAAATTCTATTCAAATATTATGCCCATTTTTTAGTTGAGTTGTCTGGTTTTTGTTGTTGAATTGTAGGGGTTCTTTATGTAGTCTTGATACTAACCCCTTATCAGATACATGATTTGCAAATATTTTCTCCCATTCTGTGCATTGTCATTTGACTCTGTTGGTAGTGTCCTTTGATGCACAAAAGTTTTTAATTTTGATGTAGCCCAATTTATCTGTGTTGTTATTGTTGTTACTTGTGCTTTGGTGTCGTGTTTAAAAAATCATTGCCAAATCTATGTCATAAAGCTTTCCCTTGTTATTTTCTAACATTTTTATAGGTTTAGCCCTTATATTTATATCTCTAGACTTAACATTCAAACTCAAGTCATTCTGTTTCTTAATTTCCAGAGTGTGCCTATTTACATTTCTGTTCTCATTCTCTTCTCTGTGCTTAGAATTCCTTTTTTCCCTATCTTCATGTATTCAAAATATTCCCATCTTTCAAGGTCTGTTCCAACTGCTGCCTATTTCATGAAGTCACCCTCTGAAGAGAATCTCTTTTGATCTTCCATTAGTGTTTTAGTTTCACTTTTCTTGTAGGACTTACATATAATAATACCTTGTTTTGTAGCTTACATCTAATCCCCCTATAAGACATTTAGATGAGATGGTGTATTTTTCATATTTGTTTCTATATAGTATTCTGCAAATTATTTTGTCTGTTTATTAGTAAATATATATTGAATAAATGGTTGTCTTAATATTTCTCGATATGGTCTCTTTTGTCTACTCAGCCCTTGTGGAAAACATGGGAGAAAATAAGACAGGGAAAGAAGAAATCACAAAGTCCCAGCTAGGTAGTGCAAGGATGTAGGCTTACTTCTACTTCAAAACTCACCTCTTTAGGAAATTTTCCTTGTAATGTATCTGTCTGACTTGCTTTTACTACATAACTCTTAGCACACATAGTTTGTGTTACATTTACTTCATAGTTTATTGCTTGTAAATATGATGATGGGTCTTTTAAAATAAATGTTTTATCTCTCTAACTAGGTTACATTGGTTAATTCTCCAAATAGATGGTAGCTATGGATAGCTAAAACTTCTGTTGCTTTTTCCTCTTTTAAGTCGATTTTGAAAATACACTAAAAATACATGAATATAAAAAAAGTCAAACATTACAGATAAGTCTAAAGTCCTCCTTGATCAACCCAGTTCCTATCTCACTGCCTTCTTACTCTACTCAGAGTTAATCATTGTTACCAGTTTTCTGTGAGCCCTCCCAGGTCTTTTTCATACATTTACTTACATATTACTATATTATGTGTAGAACTTCATATGTAACACATACATGTATAAATTATATTCATATATAATTATTTCCATTCTATTTTTCACAACTGCCTGTGGTAGTCAATAATCAGTAAATACTAAATCTTACTGATAACCTGGGTCTGAGAGACCAGAAGAAGTAAGTCAAGCATATGAAAATACTATGTGTACAGCTTATAAAATTCCATTCCATATCTGTTCTGCATATAGTCTCCAGGTATCATTGGACAGGCCATGGCTCCACGGTCCCGGCGACGAAGGCACAAGAAACTCCCTTCATCTGTGGCCCCCGTGCTTGTGACCCCACCCACAGTTGTGACCCCTGTTCCTCTGACTCCCTCAAAACCTGGCCCTAGCATTGATGCACTTGGCTTCTTATCCTTGGAGAATAATGTTCCTGGCCTATCCCAGTTGATCCTTCAAAAGCTGAACATGAAAAGTTATGAAGAATACAAGTGAGTGACCAGCTTTATGGAAGAGGGATATATTATATTTGGTAGAAGTGATTTCAGAAGGTAGAAATGGAATATAATTTGGGCAATATGGGATATTTGCAATGAGGGATTTTCACATCTTTTGCCAGTTTTATTACTACAGAAATAATTGGCTTAAGTGAGAAATGATGTCAGTAGGAGACATAGGAGTAGGTGGTATAGGCGGTAAGAGGGAGGACATGAGAGATTTTAGAAATATTCTTTTCCTTATTGCCTTTCCTTCTCCCTGCTGTTTCTGCAGGCTGGTGGTAGATGGGGGTATCCCTGTATCAGGCTTTGGATTTCGATGTCCTCAAGAAATGTTCCAGAGGATGGAGGACACATTCAGATTCTGTGCTCACTGTAAAGCACTCCCTAGTGGCTTTTCAGACTCCAAGGTCCTCCGGCACTGCAAAAGGTGACTTGTGGGGGGCTAATGGGGAGACATTCGGAAATGACCCTGTACTAAGACCTCATTCCCAAAGGAAAGGTCTGAAAGGTTTCTAATTAACTTAAGGCTCTTTCCTCATTTTGTATCATTTGGACTACAGAGTGGTCATAACAGGGTTCTAATCCTGTTTATTTTTGGTGTCACAGGGAAGTGAGATAAGAGACCACAATACAGGCCGGGCGCTGTGGCTCACGCCTGTAATCCTAGCTCTTGGGAGGCCGAGGCGGGCGGATTGCTCAAGGTCAGGAGTTCAAAACCAGCCTGAGCAAGAGCGAGACCCCGTCTCTACTATAAAAATAGAAAGAAATTAATTGGCCAACTGATATATATATATAAAATTAGCCGGGCATGGTGGCGCATGCCTGTAGTCCCAGCTACCCGGGAGGCTGAGGCAGAAGGATCACTCGAGCCCAGGAGTTTGAGGCCGCTACAATACAATCCTCTGTGTCTCCCTTTTCTTGAGTACTCAAAGAGTAAGGCCACATCTGTTGTAAGGAGGTTGGGTTTGAACTATAGCTGTGATGAGAGGGCAGCTACAAACTCCTGGTGTTTTATTTTCTTTTCTTTTAAAAGAGATATAAAAAGTGAGATGTTCCAGATAGATAGAGACTATGGTGTCACTTTGTCTGGGAGAACAATTATATTTCCAACTATCTCCTGCCTCTTCTGCCAAATGCAGTCCCCAAATTTGTTGTATCATTCCTTTTCCTACCTTCCTGACCCATTCACTGATCTTTCTTCCTAGGTATGAGAATATCAATCCCTTCCCCAGACACCCCCAATCACCTTTATGTATACAACATCTATTCCTGTGACACATTCTCTCAGGTGCAGAAATGTCTATTACTGTGGTCCAGAGTGCCAGAAGTCAGACTGGCCAGCACACAGGAGGGTTTGTCAAGAGCTTCGTCTTGTGGCTGTGGACCGTCTCATGGAATGGCTTCTGGTCACAGGTGGAGTAGTGGTATTGGGAAACTTTACTATAATGGCCATAGTTGATTGTACTGGAAAGCATATTGTCATGAAAAAAGAGGAACCTGGGGTAAGGGATGGGGCACTCTTGGACGCTGGTTGGCAGAGTGAACATATAGGGAATATTGATCATTAGTGAGAAGGGAATTTTGAAGCCAGGCAAGGATTATGTTACCTTTTATTTTCCAATATATATAGGGGATACAAGTATTTTTTATTACATGGATAAATTGTATAATGCTGAAGTCAGAGCTTTCAGTGTACCCATCATCAGAATAGTGTACATTATACTCAATAAGCAGATTTTTATTCCTCATCCCCCTCCACCCTCCACCCTTTTTAGTTTTCAATGTCTATTACATCACTTTATGACCATATACATCCCTTGTTTAGTGTCCACTTATAAGAGAGAACATGTAGTATTTGTTTTTCTATTCCTGAGATAATTCACTTAGAATGATAATCTACAGTTCCATCCAACTTGCTGCAAAAGACATTATTTCATTCCTTTTTATGGCTGAGTAGTATCCCATGGTGTATTAATATATATACTACATTTTCTTTATCCATTCTTCAGTTGGTAGGCACTTAGGTTGATTCCGTATTTTGCAATTGTGAATTTTACTCCAATAAACATTTGGGTGTAGGTGTCTTTTTTATAAAATGACTTCCTTAGATACCCAGTAGTGGGATTGCTAGATCAAATGGTAGGTTTACTTTGAGTTCTTTGAGAAATTTTCATACTGTTTTCCATAGAAGTTGTACTAGTTTACATTTCCACTAACAATGTATAAGCGTTTCCTTTTTACTACAAACATGCCAACATCTGTTTTTTGACTTTTTAATAATGGTCATTCTGATGGGTAAGGTGGTATCTCATTGTGTTTTTAATTTACATTTCCCTACTTTTTATTCCTTTTTTCCTGCAGGCGATTTTGTCCTACCCTCAGGACCTTGGCCATGGCCAGCTGAAGTTGTACAAGACTGGGACACTTGGTTTTCTATGAAAGGGTCACAGCTAGATGCTACACTGGATACTGTACTAGGTAGTCATGCCATGACCACCCTATGGGCCAGTGTAGGACGGCCAAGGCCAGACCCAGATATCCTGCAGGGATCATTGAAGCGGCTACTGACAGATGCCCTGTCAAGGCCCTTGACAGTGGGCCTAGGGCTTAGGGCCTTGGGGATAGATGTTAGGAAGACTGGGGGAAGCACAGTACATTTGATTGGTGCTTCCCATGTGGAGACATTTCTTGCTCGCCCTGGGGACTATGATGAGCTTGGCTACATGTTTCCTGGACACCTTGGACTCCGTGTGATTATGGTCGGTGTAGATGTGGCTATTGGCTTTTCTCACAGCACCTCAACTTCACCCCTGGAACCTGGCACAATTCAGCTTAGTGGCTACAGGGACCTCTATCATGACTTCTGGGAGGAGCAGGTAGAGACGGGGCAGATAGCCCGTCCAGATTTGGCAGTGGCATTCCATCCAGGTAAGATTCATTGGTTCAGAGGAATACTATTTGGCTTCCCCTGAGAATTTTCCACCCCAAATCTTGCATCTTTTATCTTTGGAACTCCATTCATGTGGTCTCCATAAACACAATATGATGACAATCTTGGTTGATAATTTGCCATATATACTACACCTGGGTTCAGAATTTTCTACCGAAGGCTAGGTGTGGTGGCTCACGCCTGTAATCCCAGCACTTTGGGAGGCCAAGGTAGGAGGATCCCTTGAGGTCAGGAGTTCAAGATTAGCCTGGGCAACATAGTGAGACCCTGTCTCTACTCTCTACAAAAAATTTAAAGAATAAATTAGCTGGGTATCATGGCATGCATCTGTAGTCCTGGCTACTCAAGAGACTGAGGAAGGAGGTTCCCTTGAGCCCAAGAATTCCAGGTTGCAGTGAGCTATGATCATTCCTTTGTACTCCATCCTGGGCAACAAAGCAGGACCCTGTCTTTAAAAAAACAAAAAACAAAAACAAAACAAAAAATAAAACAATTGAAGAAACTGGGGTGGATGATCATGAGTATTGGGGATGAGCAAGGTGAGGTGTGGTGTGGACACAATCAAAGAAATATCTTGCTCTTGCAGTCTACTTCAGTCTTTCTCCTCCCTATTCTTTTTTTTTTTTTTTTTGAGACAGAGTCTCACTTTTGTTGCCCAGGCTAGAGTAAGTGCTGTGGCGTCAGCCTAGCTCACAGCAACCCAACCTCAAACTCCTGGGCTCAAGCCATCCTCCTGCCTCAGCCTCCCGAGTAGCTGGGACTACAGGCATGCACCACCATGCCCGGCTAATTTTTTGTATATATATTTTTAGTTGGTCAATTAATTTCTTTCTATTTTTAGTAGAGATGGGGTCTTGCTCAGGATGGTTTCGAACTCCCAACCTCGAGCAATCCGCCCGCCTCGGCCTCCCAGAGTGCTAGGATTACAGGTGTGAGCCACCGCGCCCGGCCTCCCTTCCCTATTCTTATTTCCATTTTTGTTCCATAGGTTTCCATTCCTCCCCAGACTTGATGGAAGCTTGGCTGCCCACCTTGTTGCTTCTTCGTGACTACAAGATCCCTACATTGATTACTGTTTACAGGTTTTGATCTCTTTGCATACGTGATACTCCCCTGACTCACTCATACCTCACTTTATAAAGATGAGCTCATTTTACTCCCCCCTTGCTTATCTACCTTATGGTAAGGATATTCTTCCTTCCCACATGTGGCTTTTTCATCCCCTTGGAACAAAGTCCTATGCTAGTTAATTGGGTATTTAGTGAGACATTTGGGCAGAAGGGATATCTCTTGCCTAGTATAGCCTTGGGTAATTTGGGTGATTGTTGAGTACAGAAGTATCAGGCTCTTGAGCAGTTTCTCCCTTCTCTCTCATAATCATTAGAGCAATTTCTCTTCTCTCTCTTCCACAGCCATCAGGAATTGGCATCCTCTTTGCAGATTCTGGTGGAACTGGATACACATATCACTGCCTATGGGGCTAATCCTTTCACGTCCCTCAAACCTGAACAGGTCTATTCCAACCCCAACAAGCAGCCAGTATACTGCAGTGCCTACTATATCATGTTTCTTGGAAGGTCCTGCCAGCTGGATAAAAGGCAATTGGATGAGAAAGTAGATGGTGGAGTTTAAATAGATCCTGACTGGATATTTGGAAAATGAAGAGGTTGTGATGAAATTACCCTGTTAATGCCAGGTTGTTGCCAGCTTTGAAAACCACTATATCTAAACCTCATTCACTATCTGGGTAAAGATTCTCAGCAGAATGAGAGTTCCTGTATTATGTGACTTATTTCTAAGAGTTTAGCCACAGTAGCTTTTGGAGATAGGATTCTAGATTTAGTGGTTGGCAAGAGGCCCTGATGTTGGTCTTTCCAGAGTATAGAGTTCCTTACAGTTTCCTTTGCGAGGAAGTCATACCTTTTGACTGGAACCAGATAGCACTGAGGAGAAAACCGCCTTGTTCCATCTGAAAAAGACTTTCTTCTCATTGAGCAATTTGGGCTAAAAAAATGGGGAGGTGTTGATGATTTGAACTGGTACAAGAATGGACAAATCAGGGAAGTCAGGGACATGGAGGAGGTTGTAAGATTTGGCACACTGTCCTATTTTATGGCTTTTTTGAGAGAAATGTCTCATTTTCCTATTTTTTTCTTGGAGACTTCTGACCCTAGAGTAGCCCTGTATATCAGACATTACCTGAATATATTTGAGGTATTTGTTATCCTGTGTTCTATACCACAATAAACTTGGTTTGGGGCTTCTTAAGTCACTTATTTTATCTTATTTCAAATTCATTGGCAAGCATTACACATCTGCACACAACACCTCAAGATTCTAAGTTTCATTCTTGCCAACAGAGTGGTTAGCATCAGTTCTCTGTTTGGGCCTGCCACTCTACGACACACTTGTCTCATATCATCCTTCTCTTATCACACTCTCAGGTTTAGGACATTCCCTAGGTTTTCATTCCTATAGTCTTGCCATGACCTTCACCCACACATACCTCATCACCCCAGTATACACATGCATACTTTTATTGCCCACAGTACTAGGGGTAATTTTATAATTTCTTTTATTCATTTAAAACAGTTAGTACCTGCCATATGAAAGGTACTGTATTCTGGCTTTGAGGAGATTGAAAGGTGAATGAGACATCATCCTTATTTTTAATATAGGAAGGGAGATCATATGTATACAGATATCTTTATTGCAATGTGATGGAATAGAAAATACAAGAGAGGCTTATAGTGGTAAGGAAATAGAGTGAAAAAAGATCACTTCGTGCCGGGCGTGGTGGCTCACGCCTGTAATCCTAGCACTCTGGGAGGCCGAGGCGGGCTGATTGCTCGAGGTCAGTGGTTCGATAACAAGCGCTGGGAGCAAGAATGAGACCCCGTCTTACTATAAATAGAAAGAAATTAATTGGACAACTAATATATATAGAAAAAATTAGCCGGCATGGTGGCACATTGCCTATAGTCCCAGCTACTCGGGAGGTTGAGGCAAGCAGGATCGCTTGAGCCCAGGAGTTTGAGGTTGCTTTGGAGCTAGGCTGACACCACACACTCTAGCCTGGGCAACAAGAGTAGGACTCTGTCTCAAAAAAAAAAAAAAAAAGATCACTTCGTTAAATGAAAATGAAGGTATTCTGAATTAGAATTCTATGAAACAGGGCAGGACATTCTAGGTGGAAGTAATATCAGGAGCAGAAGTTTAGAAGTAGAAAAGCATAGGGGATAGTTTGGGGTACATTTGGGGATTAGTATAAATTAAGTCTGGAAGAGAGCTTGAGATTGGATTATAGAAGGAGCTTTTGTGGTCCTTTGGATTGATGTAGATCTGAAAATAAATCCTGGAGCAATTATCAGATAATTTTGTGCCCCTGAGAAAGCTAAAATTCTCTAAGCCTTAAGTTTCTTCATTTGTAAAATAGAGTATTATAATACTTTGTCACGGCCTGTTTGCAGGACAGAGGATGAACACAGAACATAAAACACAGACGCGCAGAACACAAAAACGCAGACACGCGTATGGTTGACTCAAGTAATAATACACCGGGTCCATTTTATTTTTATACTCAAAGATTTTTTTTTTTTTTTTTTTTTGAGACAGAGTCTCACTTTGTTGCCCAGGCTAGAGTGAGTGCCCTGGCGTCCTAGCTCACAGCAACCTCAAACTCCTGGGCTCGAGTGATCCTTCTGCCTCAGCCTCCCGGGTAGCTGGGACTACAGGCATGTGCCACCATGCCCGGCTAATTTTTTTTATATATATATTAGTTGGCCAATTAATTTCTTTCTATTTATAGTAGAGACGGGGTCTCGCTCTTGCTCAGGCTGGTTTTGAACTCCTGACCTTGAGCAATCCGCCCGCCTCGGCCTCCCAAGAGCTAGGATTACAGGCGTGAGCCACAGCGCCCGGCCTATACTCAAAGATTTAATTTAGCTCCTTGTACATAACCACCCAGGCATTGCAGCAGTGGCCATAAATTCTGGAATACGTAGCCTTAGGGAAGCAGATATCCCCTGGCTCAAGGTTTCCAGGTGGATGTTCTAGACGCTAGGCATAGATAAAGGACCGAGATTAGCAAGGATGGGCAAGGTGAGCCACAGGGGGCATTTCTCATCCCCAGCTTCTCTTAGGGTGACCCCTAAGAGCTTCAGCTGAACCCCGGCGGCTGTGCCTGGCTTAGGTCGCCCCTCCCTTGAGGGGTCTTACCTGTCATTGACTAACCAGCCATCTTATGGAGTGTACGCTGCAGTCACAGGAACAATAGGTTTATCGTGTGGCCTCTAGATCCCTAATGCCATGGGGTGGGGCCGTCTTGCTACTTGCAGCTCAGGTCCTTTGTTATACCTCTAGGCAACACCTTTGTTTATCACAGGGAGTCTGTCTGGAACACATTACTTTCAAATACTCTGGGCAGAACACGTACATTACTCACTAACTTTAATTCTTAAACTAGGAAAATATATGTCAGTCCCCTACATACTTAGTACCCAAAATGACATTAGAGTTAGATGAAAATGTTTGCAAAGTTGGAGTACTCACATATCCCAATTTCACAATTTACTTTGGGTTGAGTATCCCTAATCTGAAAATTCAAAATCTGAAACATTTTGAGTGCTGACATAACACTCAAAGGAAATGCTCATTGGAGCATTTCGGATCTCAGATCTTCAGATTAGCAGTGCTAAAGATAAACAAGTATTTCAAAATTTGAAATCTGAAATACACCTGGTTACAAGCATTTGGGATAAGGGATATTCAACCTGTACAAAGCAATAGTAATCATGACAACGTGGTACTGGCATAGGATAGACCTATTGATCAATCAAATAGAATTGTCTTAGTCTGTTAGGGATGCTATAACAACATACCATAAACTAGGTGGCTTATAAGCAAAAGAAATTTATTTCTTGCAGCTCTGGAAGCTGGAAATTCTAAGATGAAAGCATTGGCAGATTCAGTGTCTGATAAGGGCCCGTTCCTGGTTTAAGGTGCCTGCTTACTGTGTCTTCACATGGTGGAAGGAGTGATTGAGCTCCCCTGTGCCTCTTTTGTAAGTACACTAATCCCATTGATGACCTAATCATCCCCTAAAGGCCCCACCTCCTAATACCATCATCTTGGGGGTTAGGATTTCAACATAAGAATTTTAGGGGAACACGAAACATTTAGACCACAGTAATAGTTGAAAAAAACCTTTATCTTTATGGTCAATTGATTTGTCTTGGCAAGGGTACCAAAACAATTAATTGGGAAAAGAATAGACTTTTCAACAAGTGGTGCCAGGACAACTGGATATCTACATTCAAAAGAATAAAGTTGTATCCCCACCTCACATAATATGCAAAAATTAAAATAGTTGAGAGACCTAAAGAGCTAAAATTATTAAAGCAGTGTTTTCTTAGGTAGGACATCAAAAGCACAAGCAACCAAAATTAAAATAGGTAAATTAGACTACCGAAATTTAAAATTTTCTGCTTCAAAAAACACTATCAAGAAAGAGTAAAGAATGGGAGAAAATATTGATAAATCATATATCTGATAAGGGATCTGTATCCAAAATATGTATAAAGAACTCCAACAATTGAAAAGGAAAAATAACCCAATTAAAAAAATGGGCAAATGATCTGAACAGACATTTCTCTAGAGAAGATACACAAATGGCCAATAAGCACACGAAAAGACGTTCAGCATCTTTAGTCATTAGGAAATACAAATCAAAACCACAGTGAGATACCACTTCACACCCACTATGATGGCTACAATAAAAAGAAAGTAAAAAGTGTTGATGAGGATATGGAGAAATCAGGAACCTCACACATTGCTGGTTGGAATGTTTAAGATGGTGTAGCCATTTTGGAAAATAGTCTGGCAGTTCCTCAAAAAGTTAAACATTTGAGTTACTGTTTGCCCCAGCAATTTCATTCATAGCTTTGTACACATGGTAGACAAAAACATACAAACACGAGTATTCATAGAAGCCTTTTTCATAATAACCAAAAGGTGAAAGCAACTTATATGTCCATCAGCTTATGAATATATAAGCAAAATGTGGTATATGCTTACAATGAAATATTATTTGGCCATAAATATTATTTGGCACAGTGGCTCACATCGGTAATCCCAGCACTTTGGGAGGCCAAGATGGGAGGATCACCTGAGGCCAGGAGTTTGAGACCAACCAGGGCAACATAGCAAGATGCTGTCTCTCTAAAAAAATTTTTTTGATTAGCCAGATATGATGGCACGTGACTGTGAACCCAGAAGTTGGAGGCACAGTGAGCTAGGATTGCACCATTGCACTATAGCCTGGGTGACAGCAAGACCTTATCTCTAAAAAAATAAAATTTAATTAAAAAATACAATTTTAGGCTGGGCACGGTGGCTCACGCCTGTAATCCTAGTACTCTAGGAGGCTGAGGCAGGAGGATTGTTGAGACCAGCCTGAGCAGGAGGGAGACGCTGTTTCTGCTAAAAATAGAAATTTGGCTGGGCAGCTAAAAAGATAAAAAATTAGCCGGGCATGGTAATACACGCCTGTAGTCCCAGCTATTTGGGCGGCTGAGGCAGGAGGATCGCTTGAGCCCAGGAATTTGAGGTTGCTGTGAGCTAAGCTGATGCCACAGCACTCTACCAGCAACAGAACAAGACTGTCTCAAAAATAAATAAATAAATATTTATAAAAAGGAATAAAGTACTGATTCATGCTACAACATGGATGAACCTTGAAAACATTATGTTAAGTGAAAGAAGCCAGTCACAAAAAACCACATATTGTATGAGTGCATTTATATGAAATGTTCAGAATAGGCAAGTCTATGGAGACAGAAAGTAGATGACTGACTACATGTGGATGGGGAGGATAGGGGTGTTGGGGGGTGATAGCTAAAGGGTATGGGATTTCTTTTGGGGTGATATAACCATTCTAAAATTGTGATAGATGCACAATTCTTGTACTAAAAACCATTGAATTATTTATTTTATATCAGCAAATTATATATTTCAATAAACTCAAAATTTTGGGGGGTTCTGAGTGTGGTGGTTCATGCCAATAATCCCAGCACTTTGGGAGGCCGAAGCAGGATTGTTTGAGGCCAGGGGTTTGAGACCAGCCTAGGCAACATAGTGAGACTCCATCTCTACAAAAAAAAAAAAAAAAGAATTAGCCAGGCATGGTAGCACACACCTGCAGTCCCAGCTACTCTGGAGGGTTGAAGAAGAAGGATCACTTGAGCCCAGGAGTTAGAGGCTGTAGTGAGGTATGATTGGACCACTGCACTCCAGCCTGGGTGACAGAGCGAGACCCTGTCTCTAAAAAAGAAAAAAAAAATGTTTTTTTTGGTAAATCTTAGAAAATGTAAAAACACTCCCCCCCCCCAAGAGACAGGGTCTTGGCCGTGCATGGTGTTTCATGCCTGTAATCCTAGCACCCTGGGAGGTCAAGGTGGGTGGGTCATTTGAGCTTAGGAGTTTGAGACCAGCCTAAGCAAGAGCAAGACCCTGTCTCTACCAAAAATAGGATTATATGGACAACTAAAAAAAAATATATGTATATAATTAGCCAGACATGGTGGCACATGCCTGTAGTCCCAGCTACTTGGGAGGCTGAAGCAAGAGGATCACTTGAACGTAGGAGTTTGAGGTTGCTGTGAGCTAGGCTGATGCCACGGCACTCACCCAGGCAACAAAATAAGACTGTCTCAAAAAAAAAAAAAAAAAAGAGAGACAGGGTCTCTATCTGTCACCCAGGCTGGAGTATAGTGGTATGATCATAGTTCACTACAGCTTCCATCTCCTGGGCTCAAGCAATTTCCTGGCCTTCTCAGCCTCTAGAGTATCTACGACTATAGGCATATGCTGCCATGCCCCACTGAAAGTTGATACACTATTGTCATGGTTCAGACAAGAGATAGTGCAGTTATCAGCTAAGATAATAGCAGTGGGCATGGAAAGCAAGAAGTAATTTATAAGTTAAGTAGATAGTGACACTTTGTAGATCGAACATGAAAGTAAAATTTATAGGATATAGTTACTGATTGTGATTAATGAAGGGTGGTATATCTGTCAGAGTCTAATCAGGAGACAAACTACACACAAACAGGTGACACAAAAATTTCCAACTTAGTAGAATGGTGGTGATAGTATATAAAAGTTTAAATGTCTAGCTTCATGCTAAATGCTGAGGCTTCTAAGATGGCATCTCCCTTTAAAGTGTTTCAGTTTAATAGGAGATTGACATAAGCAATATAATAATTATATTTTCTAAAGTCAGCACATGAAGTAAAAAAAATATTTTCAAAACTACCTTTGAGGCTGGGCGCGGTGGCTCACGCCTATAATCCTAGCACTCTGGGAGGCCGAGGTGGGTGGATTGCTTAAGGTCAGGAGTTCGAAACTACCCTGAGCAAGAGCGAGACCCCCATCTCTACTATAAATAGAAAGAAATTAATTGGCCAACTAAAAATATAGAGAAAAAATTAGCCGGGCATGGTGGCACATGCTTGTAGTCCCAGCTACTCGGGAGGCTGAGGCAGGAGGATCGCTTGAGCCCAGAGTTTGAGGTTGCTGTGAGCTAGGCTGATGCCCACGGCACTCACTCTAGCCTGAGCAACAAAGCGAGACTCTGTCTCAAAACAAAACAAAAAACTACCTTTGAAAATCCCTTAGTATAGGACTACCATAGGTCCTCTCAGTAGGTCTAGCAGAGTCAGTTTTTCCTCCAGCATTGTAAAGAAATCTCTATTTAGTTGATCACCAGATGATGTAGTTGTCTTGGTTTTAAGGGGCCATATTGTAGTCCATCAGACAGTCAGTTATTTAATGAACATTTACTCCTGGGCTATAGAGATATCCCTGTTCTCAAGGAGCTTACATTTTAGAGGTGGAGACAATAAACATGGAAGTCCAAATACTTTTAAGTACTATAAAGAAAATTAAATGGAGTAATGAGTATATAACTGGTAGTGATATTGGTGGCAGCTACTAATGCTACAGTATCAGGGAATACCTCTCTGAAGAGATGACATTTGAGACGACACTGGAGAATATTTTGAGTAGAAACAAAAGGAAGGGCAAAATCCTGAGAATCTGTTGTGTTTGGGCACAGGCTTGGTATGTTTGAACAAAAGGCCACTGTGACCAGAGCTTAGTAACTGAGAAGGAAGGTAAAAAGGGGTGAGATGAGAGGGGTAGGCAGGGACTGTATTATATAGAGTTTAAGACCATGATCAGGAGTTTTGATTTTATTCTGGTTCTAGCAGGAACCTATTAAAGAAGTTTAATCAAAGGAATGATATGATGTAATTCTTTAGAAAGATCATTATGATGGGTTTCTTAACTTCAGCACTGTTGACATTTTGGGTTGAATAATTCTTTACTGTAGAAATTATATGATATTTGATAGCATCCTACAACATTGTAGGATACTTAGTAGCATCCCTGGCCTCTACTCACTAGATGCTAGTAACATCCTTCCCCAGTTTTGACAACCCAAAATGTCTCCAAATATTGCCAAGCATCCCCTGAGGGACAAAATTACTGTTCTAACTGTACAAAAAAAGTATGTGTACTTAAACACCAGATTCTGACACACTGTTGGAACATACAATGGCCTTAAGAGGTATTCTTTTTTTGCTAAGTTTATGCTCATGCTCTGACTCCATTGTTAAATGTGCCACAGTGGACATCTATAAAAGGTCTAGTTGAGTGCAAAAAGGGAGTACTGTAAATCTCTCCCAGGGAAGGCAAGGAAAAAGGAGTAAGTCAGGAAGAGTTTCTTGGAGCAGGAGGGAGATGAGCAACCTTTGAAACAAGTCTAAATAGATGAAAAATTGTAAAAAGGTGGGCAGTGCTTTCTAGACAGAGGAAGCATGAGGAAAGGCTCTCTGATCCTGGAGTGCCTTTTATGCCAGGAAAGAAGGACAAGTTGAAAGGATGAAATGGGAAATGTAGTGGTAGTGTCTGAACAGGCTAATCGATATTTGGACTTACAGCTCAGGAAATTGGGCTGGAAATAAGAGGTTTGGAAAATATCCTCTTATGGTGATAATTGAG